CAGGATGGTCTCGATCTCTTGACCTCGTGATCCACCCGCCTCGGCCTCCCAAAGTGCTGGGATTACAGGCTTGAGCCACCGCGCCCGGCCTTGCTTCTCATCTCTAGTGTTGTTTTTTTTTTTTTTAAAAGATGGAGTTTCACCATGATGGCCAGGCTGGTCATGAACTCCTGACCTCAGGTGATCCACCCACCTCGGCCTTCCAAAGTGTTAGGATTACAGGCGTGAGCCACAACGCCCGCCCTCTAGCTGTTATTAGAGAGTTTCATTGCCAACACATTTTTTCAAAAATTCAAATAAAGGGCCAGGCATGGTGGCTTATGCATATAATCTCAGCACTTTGGGAAGCCCAGGCAGGTGGGTCAGTTGAGGTCAGGAGTTTGAAACCAGCCTGGCCAACATATTGAAACCCCATCTCTACTGAAAATACAAAAATTATCTGAGCGTGGTGGCAGGCGCCTGTAGTCCCAGCTATTTGGGAGGCTCAGGCTCAAGAATCTCTTGAACCTGGAAGGCTAGTGGCTGCAGTTAGCTAAGATCACGCCACTACACTCCAGCCTGGGCAACAGAGCGAGATTCTACCTCACACAAACAAAAAGTTCAAGTAAAGGTTCTTTTATTTACAAATTAGCTTATTCTTAGCTTTGTAGATTTTTATTTTTTTACTTTTTTGAGATGCAGTCTTGCTCTCTTGTGTAGGCTGGAGTGCAGTGGCGCAAGGTCAGCTAACTGCAACCTTCACTGCCCAGGTTCAAGCGATTTTCCTGCCTTAGCCTTCCAAATACCTGGGATTATAGGTGCCTGCCACTACGTCCGGCTACCTTTTTTGTATTTTTAGTAGAGACAGGGTTTCACCATGTTGGCCAGGCTGGTCTCAAACTCCTGGCCTCAAGTGATCATCCTCACTGGCTTCCCAAAGTGCTGGGATTACAGTCGTGAGCTACTGTGCCCAGCCAGCTTTGTAGATACTTACTTTAATCTTCCCACCCTATCATCAGATCTCTTAAAATATCTTCCAGAGTTCACACTTGTCTGATTATGGCTTTAGGTTACATTTGTAAGACCAGTCACACTGTATCAGAGGATATTTATGATTAAATAATACATGCATCGTCCCTTGGAAAAGGCTGTACCAGATTTACTTTTCACAGTTCTTAATGTCATCAAAATACTTGGAATAGAGAAGTTCTGTCAATTTAATCACCCCCATTAGACATTAAGTAAAATGTCTCCACCTTTCTTTGAAACGGCACTGTGATGTCCATTTCAGGGCACTTGACTTTCTTTACATCTGTAGAGGTGTGTGTTCCCAGGTTGCTTTCCGGCAGTGTTAAATCAGTTTGTAAGGCCACTCACAATATATGAGACTGCCAGTTTCACTGTAGTGTCAGTCTGATCTCAGATCAAAAAATAAGTAAGCTGGCGTGGTGGCCTATGCCTGTAATGCCCACACTTTGGGAAGCCAAGGCAGGCAGATCACCTGAGGTAAGGAGTTCGAGACCAGCTTGACTAACATGGTGAAACTCCGACAAAAATTAGCCAGGCGTGGTGGCATGTGCCTGTAATCCCCGCTGCTCAGGAGGCTGAGGCAGGGGAATTACTTGAACCTGGGGGGCCGAGGTTGCAGTGAGCCAAGATCGTGCCATTGCACTCCAGCCTGTGGGACAGGGCAAGACCCTTGTTTCAATAAATAAATAAATTAATAAATAAATAAAAATTTAAGACTTGCTTATGGGCTGGGCATGGTGGCTCAAGCTTGTAATCCCAGCGCTTTGGGAGGCCGAGGCAGGCAGATCACAAGGTCAAGAGATTGAGACCATCCTGGCCACCAACATGGTGAAACCCCCTCTCTACTAAAAATACAAAGAAATTAGCTGGGTGTGGTGGCGTGCCCCTGTGGTCTCAGCTACCTGGGAGGCTGAGGTAGGAGAATTGCTTGAACCCGGGAGGCGGAGGTTGCAGTGAGCAGAGATCACACCACTGCACTCCAGCCTGGAGCCTGGTGACAGAGCGAGACTCTGTCTCAAAAAAAAAAATTGCTTATTTAAGGGCTTCATATTATTTAATAGGAACATAAAAAATATTTGAATGGTAATATCAGTAGTTGTAATAGTAAACTGTTACCAATGTAATGCCTCTTTTTCACTTTGTCAATGGAGGACTCTCGTTGGGGAGACAGAGATTCAGAAGGCACTTGGAGAAAAGGACCTGAAGCAGACTCTGAATGGAGAAGAGGCCCACCAGAGAAGTAAGTAGAGTTGAGGAAAACAGTGCGGCTCCAGTTCCTGTTAATATCTTATTCGTTTTAAAATTTGGTTGATTTTGTGGGGCAGGGGATTGGAGGGGGAAGGAAAGACAGAAGAATTGTGTGCATGTCTGATTTTATGTGGGTTCCTTTTTTGTTTTGTTTTGTTTTGTTTTTTGGGTCTGCCACCCAGGCTGGAGTGCAATGGCATGATCTGAGCTTACTGCAACCTCTGCCTCCTGGGTTCAAGTGATTCTTGTGCCTTAGCCTCTTAAATAGCTGGGATTACAGGTGTGTGCCCCCACACCTGGCATATTTTTGAATTTTTTAGTAGAGATGGGGTTTTGCCATGTTGCCCAGGCTGGTTTTGACTTCAAGTGATCTACCTGTCTTGGCCTCGCAAGTTGCTGGAATTATAGGCATGAGCCACTGCGCTTGGCCTGTTTTTTGTCATTGTTTTGAGATGGCCTCTCACTTTGGAGTGCAGTGGCGTGATCCTTGTCTCTATAGCCTCGACTTCCCTGGGCTTAAGTGATCCTTCTGCCTCAGCCTCCTGAGTACCTGGGACCACAGGTGTGCTCCACCATGCCTGGTTAATTTTTTATTTGTTTCTTTGTATTTGAGACAGAATCTCGCTCTGTCACCCAGGCTGGAGTGCAGTGGCCTGATCTTGGCTCACTGCAGCCTCTGCCTCCTAGGTTCAAGCAATTCTCATGGCTCCCAAGTAGCTGGGATTACAGACGTGCACTGCCACACCCGGCTAATTTTTTCATTTTTAGTAGAGACAAGGCTTCACCATGTTGGCCAGGCTGGTCTTGAACTCCTGACTCAAGTGATCTGCCTGTCTTGGCCTCCTGAAGTGCTGGGATTACAGGCGTAAGCCACCATGTCTGGTTAGTTTTTGTATTTGTTGTAGTGACAGGGTTTTGTCATGTTTCCCAGGATAGTGTCAAATTCCTAGGCTCAAGCAATCCTCCCTCCTCGGCCTTCCAAAGTGCTGGGATTACAGGTGTGAGCCACTGTGCCAAGCAGCATGTCTCAATTGTAGTAGAAATGGGGTTTTGCCATGTTGGCCAGGGTGGTCTTGAACTCCTGACCTCAAGTGATCTGCCTGCCTTCACCTCCCAAAGTGCTAGGATTAAAGGCATGAGCCACTGTACCTGGTCCATACTGAAGTTTTAAAAAAGCATGTGAAAATAACATCCTCAAAGGATCATACGGTTTTTTATTTCAGATGTTTTTAATTGTTTTTCTTGCTGTGTAGGGAGTGGAGACGTGGAGAAGGGCGAGATGAAGACAGGTCTCATAGAAGAGATGAAGAGCGGCCCCGGCGTCTGGGGGATGATGAAGATAGAGAGTCCTCTCTTAGACCAGACGATGACCGGGTTCCCCGGCGTGGCATGGATGATGACAGAGGCCCTAGACGTGGTCCTGATGAAGATCGATTCTCTCGTCGTGGGGCAGACGATGACCGGCCTTCCTGGCGTAACACAGATGATGACAGGCCTCCTAGACGAATTGCTGATGAAGACAGGGGAAACTGGCGTCATGTGGATGATGACAGACCATCTAGACGAGGACTGGATGAGGACAGAGGAAGCTGGCGAACAGCTGATGAGGACAGAGGACCAAGACGTGGGATGGATGACGACCGGGGGCCGAGGCGAGGAGGTGCTGAGGATGAGCGATCATCCTGGCGTAATGCTGATGATGACCGGGGTCCCAGGCGAGGGTTGGATGATGACCGGGGTCCCAGGCGAGGGTTGGATGATGACCGGGGTCCCAGGCGAGGGCTGGATGATGATCGAGGACCTTGGAGGAATGCCGATGATGATAGAGTTTCCAGGCGTGGTGCTGAGGATGACAGGGGCCCTTGGAGAAACATGGATGATGATCGGCTCTCAAGACGTGCTGATGATGATCGGTTTTCCAGACGGGGTGATGACTCAAGACCTGGTCCTTGGAGACCATTAGTCAAGCCAGGTAAAATTCTATTTTCTTGAATATGTTTAAGTGTTCACCTGTAAAAGTGAAATTCAGATGGATAAATGTCAGGGCTGTATTGTTACTTTCCAGATAAACTGTTCTTTTATCTTTCCTTGAGTATCGTTACAGGGTCTTACCTGTCAAACATTTGCCTATAGAATACCACCATCCAAAACAGATCAACAACCCAACCCTTCTTTCCTCTTTAGTGGTGTGCTCTTTTCCTTCTGCTTCGTTGACTACTACTTGGAAGGATCTTCCTGTACTAATCCCTTCAGTATTGGTGTGTTTTTCAGGTTTTATTGAGAACCAGCCTCCTTTTAAAAATAAATAACTAAAACTAAAATGTACTTGATATATTTGTTTCTGCCAACCATGAGATTATGCATAGAGAAACTCATTTTACTTTTTTTGAGACAGAGTCTTGCCTTGTTGCACAGGCTGGAGTGCAGTGGTACAATCATGGCTCACTGTAACCTTGACCTCCCAGGCTCTGGGGAGTCTCCCACCTCAGCCTTCTGAGTAGCTAGGACTACAGGCGCATGCCACCATATCCTGCTAATATTTTTTTTTTTGGAGAGACAGGGTTTCACTGTGTTACCCAGGCTGGTCTCAAACTCTTGGGTTCACTGCTGCCTCTCCCTCCCAAAGTGAAGTGCTGGGATTACAGGTGTGAGGCACTGCACCCAGCCTCATGTTCTTTCTTAGCTCTGGGCCTGCTTGTTATTTCACACTTTATTATTGGTGAGCCAGTTGTATGCATGTCTGTGATATGCGTCTATTACCATTATCTTTCTTTTTTTCTTTTTTTTTAAGACTGAGTCTTGCTCTGTTTTCCAGGCTGGAATGCAGTGGTGCAAATCCCAGCTCACTGCAATCTCCACCTCCTGGATTCAAGCGATTCTTCTGCTTTGGCCTCCCAAGTAGCTGGGACTACAGGTGCACACCACCACACATGGCTAATTTTTTTGTATTTTTAATAGAGATCGGGTTTTACCATGTTGGCCAGGCTGCTCTCGAACTCCTGACCTCAAGTGATCCACCTGCCTTGCCTTCCCAAACTGCTGGGATTGCAGGCATGAGCCACTGCGCCCAGCCAGTTTTCTCTAGGTGATTTCTATGTACTGCATGCAGGTGACAGCTGCTTACTGCATACAGCATATCTCCACCTGGTAGTCTCACTGAATGTTGAGCACAGCCTATCCAAAACTGGATTCATCACCAACAAACACACATGCATTTGTTCACGCCCACCCACCCCTCTGATTCTCATCAGGGGCATCACTGCCCACCTAACTTTCTGAGCTAGGAATCTGGGAGTTGTTTTGTCGTCGTTTCATCCTTTATGTTAAATCTTTACTTTTATTTTTTTTTAATTAATTTTTTTTTTGAGGTACTTTTGTGTAAAAGTTAAATCTTCATATAGTTCATATAGTTCACTTCTGCTTTTTTGATGTTTCTGAAATCCACCCTCTTCTCCATTCCCACTGCTTGTACCTGATCCTGGGTCAGCATCATTTTCCTTCCCCCCGACTGGTTTTTTCTGGCTCCCTGACTCTCAGTTTTAGTTTTGTGGGTGGGGGAAATAACAAGAGCAGTTGTTCTGCATGTACATCTAAGTGAGCTGCTTCCTTGCTTTCCCTAGTTTCTGTTGCCTACTTCGTCTCACCTCATTCCACTGTTCAGCTGTTAACTTGTGTAAGCCACTTCATTTTTCTTTGCCTTATGTTAAATTGGGTAACAACATAGCAGATTCTTATTAATTTGCTAATTATATTTTATAAAGTTGCCATGAATACTGAACTCCTATTCATAGGGGAAATAGAAGGTTAGGATCTCATGAGTCTCTAGTCATGGTATTTTTGTCAGCCAGTCCATAAAATGTCTTTTATGTGTTTGTGTTTAAAGACCCTTTATTTCTGACATGTTGTTGATTTATTAACATTGAATTCATGGTCCACAGCATTATAACTCATTCATGAACAAAGCTTATCTAATGCCTGTATTTTCTCCTTAAGGCATATCATGGCCACCTTGTGCTTGGAGTCACTAAACAGCATTTGTTTTTTCTTTTTTGAGGCAGGGTCTTGCTTTGTCACCCAGGCTGCAGTGCAGTGACGTGATCTCAGATCACCGCAACCTCTGCCTCCTGGGCTCAAGAGATCCTACCACCTCAGCCTCCTGAGTAAGAGAGTATAGGTACACACCACCAAGCCGAGCTAATTTTTGTAGTTTTGTAGAGATGTGGTTTTGTCATGTTGCCCAGGCTGGTCTTGAACTTCCGGGCTCGAGGGATCCACCTTCCTCGACCGCCCAAATTCCTGAGATTACAGGTGTAAGCCACCACGCCTGGCCACTAGACAGCATTTTAGCACTACACTTGGAAGCCATTTTAAACAGTGAAGTCACCAGCAAATTTCTCTCTCTCTGTAATCTATATAAAATGTTCCTAGATTCATATATTCGACGGATAAGTATGAGACATTGTACAGGGTTAAAAGATTTATCCATAATTAACGACTAGATAATGGTGGGTTGGTAAATGGTGGAGGATGGGCATATAAAAAGAAAGATTCTTTTTTGGATATGAAGGCCTTGAAAATGTTGCAAGGTATAATAAATACCACACAATTGGGACTCAGAGAAAACTCTTGAAGTTTTCTGTTTAAATGAGTGATCTGTTTAACATCAGAACATACTATGCTGAAATCTGTATGCAACAGGAAAAATTATGAAATTCTCAATGATGATTTTGTTTATGGAACACTCAACCCAGATCATTTAAGTTTTTTGTTTTTTTTACCTTCTGTTTTTTGAGACAGAGTCTCACTGTCGCTCAGGCTGGAGTGCAGTGGTACGATGTTGGCTCACTGCAACTTCTGCCTTCCAGGTTCAAGCGATTCTCCTGCCTCAGCCTCCCAAATCAAGTAACTGGGACTGTAGGTGTGCCACCACACCTGGCTAATTGTTGCATTTTTAGTAGGGACAGGGTTTCACCATGTTGGCCAGGCTGATCTCGAATTCCTGGCCTTAAGTGATCCACCTGGCTCAGCCTCCCAAAGTGCTGGGATTACAGGTGTGAGCCACCATGCCTGGCCCATTTTAAGTTTTCTTATAGATATATGAGTTTTTTTTAATTTTTATTTTTTTTGAGATGGAGTTCTGCTCTTGTTGCCTAGGCTGGAGTGCAGTGGCTTGATCTTAGCTCACTGCAACCTCTGTCTCCCGGATTCACGAGATTCTCCTGCCTCAGCCTGCCAAGTAGCTGGGATTATAGGCATACACCACCACACCTGGCTGCTTTTTAAAAAAATATTTTTAGTAGAGACGGACTTTCTCCATGTTGGTCAGGCTGGTCTTGAACTCCCGACCTCAGGTGATCTGCCCGCCTTGGCCTCCTAAAGTGCTGGGATTATAGGCATGAACTGCCGCACCCAGAAAATACTGTTAATAATGTCTGTGCAGTGATATACACAGCTTTAGTGTTTTTTTAATCAGTGTCTTAAATTATAGAATGATGATGAATCATGATTGCCAATCTGTGTCTTTTTAAAAAAAAATTTAAAAATATTTTGCTTTTTCAAAAAAAAAAATAGGTGGATGGAGAGAGAAAGAAAAAGCCAGAGAGGAGAGCTGGGGTCCTCCTCGAGAATCAAGACCATCTGAAGAACGTGAATGGGACAGAGAAAAAGAAAGGGATAGAGATAATCAAGACCGAGAGGAGAATGACAAGGACCCTGAGAGAGAAAGGGACAGAGAGAGAGATGTGGATCGCGAGGATCGCTTCAGAAGACCTCGGTGCGATGTTCTGATCAAATCATTTGTACGGGCCGGGTGCAGCAGCTCACGCCTGTAATCCCAGCACTTTGGGAGGCTGAGGAGGGTGGATCACCTGAGGTCAGGAGTTCGAGAGCAGCCTGGCTAACATGGTGAAAGTCCGTCTCTATTAAAAATACAAAAATTAGCTGGGCGTGGTGGTGGAGCACCTGTTATGCCAGGTACTCGAGAGACTGAGGCTGGAGAATCACTTGAACCCAGAGAGCAGAGGTTGCAGTGAGCGGATATTGCACTGTTGCACTCCAGCCTGGGCGACGAGAGCGAAACTCTGTCTCAAAAAAAAAAAAAAAATTTTTTTTTTTAAGAGCTGCAGTTGGGATTGTTTTAGACACTGGCCTGTGTGTTCCAAACTATTTTTGAGAAATGACATTCCTCATTATCCCCCAGCCTCCCCCTGCCCCCATCTCTCAGAATCATAATGAAGGTTTTATAAATGTTTTAGAGGTTATCTAATTGAACATGCCCTCTTAAAGTTAGCAAGTGGAGGCTCAAACTTTGTGGCTTTCTATAGGCTGTGTAACTGTTGGGTAATGGAACCAATATCGCCGTCTTTGCCAGTCCATTGCTTTTCCTTTTGTGGTTTAGGGCAGTCAGTTTTCTTGCCTTTAAAAGACCAAAAGCCCCTTGATTTTATTAGTAGTAGAAGTTCTAGCTTGCTCCCTCTGCCAAAGTGGCCTTACACTGCAGACCAGCAGTATTCAGTGCAATTTTCTGCAAGGAAGAACATGTTCTGTGTACTGGCCATTATGGTAGTCACCAGTCACATTTGGCTGCTAAGCACTTAGACTATATGGTTGGTGCTCCTGAGGAAATATCCCCATTTTACGTTAGATACATTTAAGCAGCCACATATGGGTAGTGGCTGCCGAGTGAGATGGCGCAGATCTGGGTGTTCTCTTTTGTCTCCCATGTCCCAGCTATCAGGTCAGGTCAGGTTATGAGTTAAAACTGTGCTTGTTAGATTTGTAAATTCTGAGCACCAGCTTGGACAGGATGTACTTAGAATTATCCATTTGGTCTAACAGTATGAAGAACCTGACTTGTCATTTTAAATTGCTACAGGGATGAAGGTGGCTGGAGAAGAGGACCAGCTGAGGAATCTTCAAGCTGGAGAGACTCAAGTCGCCGGGATGATAGGGATAGGGATGACCGTCGCCGGGAGAGAGAGGACCGGCGTGATCTAAGAGAAAGACGAGATCTAAGAGACGATAGGGACCGAAGAGGCCCTCCGCTCCGATCGGAACGTGAAGAAGGTATGAAGTGTTGGAGAACCATCCTTTGCGCGGGGGGGGGGGAATTTGAATTATTTAATTATACCGCAAATTTGAATGAATGCCAACAATAAGAGAGTTGATGTTTGTTCCATTTGGAATTCATGATTTTCATACAGTTAACTCAGTGGCCATGTTGTGAGGTGCACTTATCTCCAAATTCAAGGTACAGTAGTAGACTAAATTGGATAGTAGGCGATAAATATTGATAAAATTTACTTAATAAAAATGAAAAAATTTATTATTTAAAAGTAACTTCCTGGCAGATTAAGCCCAGAGTAGAAACATTTTTTCTTTTAAACAGTTGGAAGTTCATTCTTTTTTTTTTTTTTTTTTTTTTT